GATGACCTCGGTTACTGAATAATATTTAGTTATCCTGGGTGTGGTATTAAGTGATATATATATATATGATGCCGATCTGCTGCTAGCTCAAGCGATGCTAACTACTTCCTACGCGCAAGGATCAGCTAGAGAACAGGACGCTGAGCACAGCGGTTTGACTGACTAACTGAAGCAGCTGATCCTACTGCTATCTAACTGACGCCTGTAGAATCGTTTGCTGACACCTACAGTTTGCAGCTTCGGTTGATTGAATGCATAAACTATCTCAATTCATTGAACAATGGCGTCGGCAGTCCGCAGTCACGATGTCTGCAAATTGATGCCGTGTAGGTGTTTGCGCACTTTGAACTGTCCCCAGGGCCTTCTTCTCCCAAACAAAATGTATATGTCAAGTTCCACATGCTGGTCCATCGATGATGCACCGGATTTTCAGATAGGTACACTGCAGATACATTGTCACAATAAATCGCCGTTGCCTTGTCGATGACCAAGATGAAGTTCTTGAAGAAGATTTCGCAGCCAGCAGCACTCAAGGCGGCATTGGCTACCGCTTCGTACTGCGACCTCGGCGCTTGGCTATGACACCGTAGTCTGGCGCTGATTCCACCATGACACAAGTGAGTCACCAAGAAAGGCCGCATATCCGGACGTCGATAAGCCGCGTGTCTGGCAATCGTCCCGGGCCATCGGCGTCGAGGTAGACCTTGAGTGCAATCGACGGTGTATGCCGAGATCTTGATGTTTGGTTGATAGAACCACAGAGGTATCTCGAGGGATGCGGCTTCACAAGGTTCGGTGCGCTCGCGCGAGGGCGTGCATGTGGAAACGACGCTTTTAGTTCACGCCTGTGAGGCAATGTCCGTGACGTGTGAGTGCAGAGGGTGCCGGCGCCTGCCGGTGATCTTTGCCGTAGAAAAATGTTGTCGGACGCGAGCTCACGTTAGTGGTAGACAGCAACCGCTTGGTTTCGACGGAGTCGTCTGATGTCCGCAGTTCATGCTCGCGCTCTTTCAGGGATGTCCTCGTGTATTTGGGCTGGTTCGTTGAGGTAGAATCACGATCGCATCATGCCCGGACTCTCAAGGAAGAAGTGGAACTCACCAAGGTCCTTGAGCGCAAAAGCTTGGCGCAGCAACTGATGCGATGACGTGACGTGAGGCGGTGGTCGTTGAGGTACGTGAGAATAATAATGTCATCGACGTACACAAGAAGATAAAGCCACTTGGTTATGCCATACTTGAGATGAACATGATTGTCATGCGGCCGGACGCGATGAAGCCCACATCTTCGCGTGTCAGGTGGCTTGCAAAGCGCCGGAACCACGCCGTGGCGCTTTACTTAAACCCGTGGGGACTTGATGAGCGAACCAAACATGGTCCGAAACAGCGGGGTTAAACAAAACCTATAGGTTGATGACAATACACGCAGCTACGGCAAGATCACCGTGAGGAAACACGTTCTGACGTCGAGCTGATGCATAGGCCACCGCTCTTGTCGCCGTGAGGTGCAAAGATCGCTTGGATAAATGGCTGCCGCTTGACCACCGGGAAGGTCTTATAAAGTCGGCGCCGGGGCATTGGGAGAACCCGCGGGGCACCCATATCGGCCTTTCGACGCTCCAATGTGCCATCGTAGAATGCAACTTGTTCTTAAAGAGCCATTTGCCGGTGATGACATTAAGCTTATGCGGAGTCGAGGCATGAGTGTCCACGTCTTGCTGCTCTCCAGGTGTTGGATTGGCCTACGCATCAGCGACGGGCCTCCGGATCCAAAGATGCGGCGGACACTTGGCAGCGGCGCGGCGCGGCGCAGTAGCGACGATATGCATACCGCGGATTAGGCATGTGGATCCTAGCTTGCGCATGCAGCGTGACCATCGGGTGTCGTTAACGTTGCGGTACGAACACGCCCTAGAGGGTCGGCGGTGCCCTTCAATGGAGGAAACCGGCGTCACGCAGTCGGGCGGCGCCGAGAACGATATTCGCGGCGGTGGCGGCAGCGCAGCCGCAATTCGCGTCGGTTGTAGGGATGTCGGCGTTCTTTGAAGCGATGGGCAGTAAGGTCTCGGTCGATGAGAGTCCGTTGTCGGTACGCCGAAGCTTCGTTCTTTGGAGCACACTGTCGAGACCTGGCTTAGTCCGGTGGGGCGGGACCATGTCGGCGAGCACGACAGCATGGAGGAGCAGCGAGAACGAAGGCGTCGTGTCAACACAGGTAAATGGAAAACAAGTCTCGTCAAACAGACGTGGCGTGAGATGAACCTGCGTTTGGTAACGGGATTATGTAGCATATCCATCTTTTGGTTGACGGATAGCCAAGGAAGATACGGAAGGACAGAGCGTTGAGACAACTTGTGCGGGCTATGAGGCGGTGTTAGGGGTAACAAAGGCACCCAAAACTTCGGAGGTTGTTATGTCGGCGAGGCCGAAAAGCAGCTTCGAATGGGGTCAAAGTTATTACGAGGTCCGACACGGCTGTCGATTCGATGTAGATAAGTGGAGGCGGCGACGACACGTCCGCCATGTAAGCTAGGCGGGATGGATGCTGAAACAGCAAAGAACAAATGCCATCGTTTGAGAGTCGCGGAGGGCGCTGTTACTGCACGCCTCTGCTGGGATGTGGCCTGGGTAGGTAAGGCGAAAGAGCAATGCCGTCTTGTACGTGAAGAATGCCTGACGCCGAGTTATCAAACTCTTTGCCATTGTCGGTTTGGAGACACATATTGGGCACTGAAACTGAAGTGCGTGCAAAGGCATGGAAGGAGATGGAGTGAAGAACATCGGTTTGTGGCGCAAGAAAGGTCCAAACATAATGCGAGAAATCATCCAAATGACAAGATAGAATTTATAACGGTAATTACTCGTTATAGGTGAGGTCCATACATCACAATGTCTGGTTTGAAAGAAGCGAGAAATATTATTGGACTTGGTAAAGGCAGCAGGACATACTTGCCAAGGCAGCAGGCTTCATGTATGACGATTCTGGATTCTTTTGGGAATAAGAAAACCTATGGAGAGCAACAGGCGTTGGGCGTGGCATGGCCGGGATGACCAGCGCGCATACTGAGGAGCGTCTTGTTATGCGAAGGCAGGAGAGAGGCGATCGGAGGGCGCCAGTGATGGCAAGTGGGTAGAGTTCGGCGGACGAATCACATTTGGCGAAAGCCGTCTACCCAAAGTGGGAGATCCTTGATAGAAAAGCCCCATGGATCAAATTCAACAGAAATCGAATTGTCACCCGGGTTAAACCGCATACTGAAATGAGATTTTGACAAGCTGAGAGCAATTAAAATATTGCAAGAAGTTGCAAAGGAAAAGTAAGTAAGAGAATAGAGGCGTTACCCGGTCAACAGGCGGAGGGAAGAAATTATCCATGCCGACTTAACAATATATTGAAATGAAGCAGAGAGGAGGCGAAGCTGAGGATCTCAGAATGGAAAAGCCCATGTGCGTGGGTTTCGTGGTCAAGCGAACGGATAGCCATTACCGCCTACCACCGGGGTTGTTGATGGACAAAGCGTTGAAAGCGGAGATAAATGCGGCGTAAAGAGCCACGGCCCGGTCGTGCGAAAGCGGGATCGTGCATGGAGGTGGGGCATGAAGTACTTATAACAGTGGCGATTGACGCGGCCGCAGCCGAGGGACACCGAGTCGTGACATTCATCAACCACGCCTGAACGCGTACCAAAGGGTTGTAGGCCGAGGCCGCAATGTGGCGGCGACTGCGTGGGGAAGGTGAGGTGGCGAGCTTCGCCGGCCAGGCCTCTGTCATCGTCGGCTCTGGCGATTTCCAACCATCGGCGGACTTGCGGCTTCATGACGGCCGTCATTGGCACTTGGTGTTGGAGTGCCTGCGGCGGAGAGTGAGGCGGCCTGAGCAGGCGAATCGTTATGCTGTAAATAAGCAGGCTCACAGGGCGTAAATCGTCAGCAGCCCTCCATCTTTTGAGTAGAGTGTCGCATCCAGATGTTTCCTCCTGCGGCAAATAGGATTTAGGTGTGAGGAATGGGCAAGCGGTTACTGATGGAAGAGATAAGCAATGGCACACGCGCGAACATTGTTCAAAGACACGCGATATCATTGATGACGAAGCGCCGATCGGAAGCGGCGGCGGCGCATGTGATCGCTAAAATGTCGGCGCTTGGCAGACGGCTTAACGCTTCATTGTTCATGTCGCTTGCAGAATGGTGTCAGGTGGAACTCTGCCCCGAGCATAGGCGGCGGCGAAGGCAAGGTTAACGAGAACTGCCGGTCAATTTGCCGCGCTCAAAAGCGAGTAGGGTGGTGGCGCCCGCTTCGTTACTCAAACTCTCCTTAGACACGGTAGTAGAGCCAGAGGCTTGTCGAAATGCGAGTCAATTTGGAGCCATTCGGATCGTATTCGATCATGGTGGCGGCATCAATCTGGCCCGTCGATGTGATCGGCGTATCGGCGGATTTCTTGATCGCGGCGAAAGAACGCCACTGCCGGTTGCGGTCATCAGTGGAGGGATGACGGAGCGTGGCTCGCGGATGTTGAAGCAGCACGAGGGTGGAGGCTGGGGAGGAGCAGAAAATAAATTTGTTTTCTAAATAAATTTGAAAAACAAAGAAACTGCAGCCTGTCGATCCGGCTCACGGCTCACTCATTTGCAGCAAAAATTTGAAATTGCCCGCTGCCCGGCGTCCAGATTCAACGTACCTATAGAACTCTTCTGCACGCTCGGTCGCTCGCCGTGGATCGGAATCCCAGGAACACGACACCACCGTGTAACACGGCAAAGTCTGCGCAGAGGAGGCCACACCCTGGCATGCACCGAGCCGGAGCGCGGATAAGCACGGTAAGGAGTACGGCGGGACGTGGCGACCCGTGTGCCTGCCTTCCTCCACGTAGCCGCGCGGCCGCGCCCCCTCGCCACGTACCAGCGCCCGGCGCTACCGCGCTAGTATAAATGCGCGCCAACTCCGCCTCTGCATGCCAGCCAACCCAAGCACCAGATCACAGTGCAACTTAAACCACGATGGTGAGCGCCAGAATCGTCCTCCTCCTCGTCGCCCTCCTCTGCGCCGGCGCCGCGGTTGCGTCGTCCTGGGAGGACCACGACGACCACGGGGGGCACAAGTCTTGGCGATGCGCGCGGCGGTGCGAGGACCGGCCCTGGCACCAGCGCGCACGGTGCGTGGAGCAGTGCAGGGAGGAGGAGCGTGAGAAGCAGCAAGAGGAGCGGGCCGGCAGGCACGAGCACGAGCACGAGCACGGCCGCAGCGGCCGCCGTGGCGACCGGCGCGGCGAGGGCTCGTCGGGAGATGAGCGTGAGCGCGAGCGCGAGCAGGAGCAGGGGCGGCGGCCGTACGTGTTCGACCGCCGCAGCTTCCGCCGCGTGGTCCGGAGCGAGCAGGGGTCCGTGAGGGCTCTCCGGCCGTTCCTCGAGGCGTCCAAGCTCCTCCGCGGCATCCGCAACTACCGCATGGCCGTCCTAGAGGCGAACCCGCGCTCGTTCGTCGTGCCCAGCCACACCGACGCGCACTGCATCGGCTACGTCGTGCAAGGTATTCTGCGTCCGTCCATGCACGTTTGGTGTTGAGGCATTTGCGTGCTTTGCTGACTGGATCGGAGGACTTCCTTGGTAGGCGAGGGAGTGGTGACGACGATCGAGAACGGCGAGAGGCGGTCGTACACCATCAAGGAAGGCCACATCTTCGTGGCGCCGGCCGGGGCCATCACCTACCTGGCCAACACCGACGGCCGGAAGAAACTGGTCATCGCCAAGATCCTCCATACCATCTCCGTGCCTGGCGAGTTCCAGGTAATTAGTAAGCTCTAAACAAGAAATGGAGTGTTGCATAACCCAATCGACGACTGACGTGTCAATTGGCAGTTCTTCTTCGGCCCCGGCGGGAGGAACCCGGAGTCGTTCCTGTCGAGCTTCAGCAAGAGCATCCAGAGAGCTGCTTACAACGTACGTAGTACACACATGGCATACATGTCTTACATTACATGTGCAGCAACGAAGTGTCGACCTGTGTGTGCTCACTGCTCACATCGCGTTCATGTCACAGACCTCAAGCGACCGGCTGGAGAGGCTATTCGGGAAGCACGGGCAGGACAAGGGGATCATCGTGCGCGCCACGGAGGAGCAGATCCGCGAGCTGCGGCGCCACGCCTCGGAGGGCGGCCACGGCCCGCACTGGCCCCTGCCGCCGTTCGGCGAGTCGCACGTGCACGGCCCCTACAGCCTCCTGGACCAGCGGCCCAGCATCGGCAACCAGCACGGGCAGCTCTACGAGGCCGACGCGCGCAGCTTCCACGACCTCGCCGACCACGACGTCAGCGTCTCCTTCGCCAACATCACCGCGGGGTCCATGAGCGCGCCATTGTTCAACACCCGTTCGTTCAAGATCAGCTACGTGGCGAAAGGCGAGGGATCCGCCGAGATCGTGTGCCCGCACCACCACCAGTCGCAGCAGGGCGGCGAGAGCGAGCGTGGCAAGGGCAGGCGGAGGAGCGAAGGAGGAGGAGGAGGATCCGAGGAGGAGGAGGAAGCCGGGCAGGGGTACCACACCATCCGGGCTCGTCTGTCGCCAGGCACGGCGTTCGTGGTGCCCGTGGGCCACCCGTACGTGGCGGTGGCGTCCCGGGACAGCAACCTCGAGCTCGTGTGCTTCGAGATCCACGCCGAGAAGAACGAGAAGGTGTTCCTGGCCGGCGCCGACAACGTGCTGAAGAAGCTGGACCGGGTGGCCAAGGCGCTGTCGTTCTCGGCCAAGGCGGAGGAGGTGGACGAGGTGCTCGGCGCGCGGCGCGAGAAGGGGTTCCTTCCTGGCCCGGAGCAGGAGCAAGAGGAGGAGCGCGGAGGACGCCACGGCGGCCGTGAGGAGAGGGAGCAAGAGGAGGAACGCGAACGCCGCCACGGAGGCCGTGAGGAGAGGGAGAAAGAGGAGGAACGCCATGGACGCCACGGCGGCCGTGGGGAGAGGGAACAGGAGGAGGAACGCGAAGGACGCCACGGCCGCGGCCTGCCGCGAGGAGGCGGTGGAGACACTCCTGGGGATGGCGACCGCCAGGATGTGAGGCCGTCGCGCTGATCGACGACCCAACGAGGATGATGGCGCGACGTGCGTACGTAGTACGAGGGAGCCTGAGCGGAGACGTTCGACGTGTATGTATGTACAGTGTATGTATGTAAGCGGCAGGCAGTGCAATAAGTGTGGCTCTGTATGTATGTACGTACGTGTACGATGATGTAAGCTACTGAGGCAAGGCAAGGCCCTGTTCATAAATAAATAATGACACGTGTTCTTTAATCTGTTCGCTTCTTCAGTGTTCCCTTGCGGAGTTTAGCACAGCAGTAAGCTGGACATCCATTGATGCCGTTACTCTGAGAACAGACATAGCAGAACCACTGAACTCGTGTCTGAACTCTAATCCATTATCGCTACGTTTAAATAGCGCCGTACAAACACAGCAAATTAGTCATCAAACTATTAACCGTACATGTTCGATCCATAGCTAGTAGTAGGTGTATACATCCCTAGCAATGAACTATTAGCTCACCTTAACAATTAGGAGTAACTATTAGCCCTTGTGTTATGCTACAAGCTTGCTAGCTAAGGGCGTCTCCAATAGTCCCTAGCAATGATATTGTCCAAAAATAAGTGATGTTCTAGATTTGTGCTAAGTCAAACAATTTTAAGTTTGACTAAATTTATAAAAAAATACTAATGTTTATGATATCAAATAAATATTACTTCTCCGTTCTAAATTATAAGTCGCTTTGACTTTATTTAAAAATAGTAAATTTATTTTGAAATATATTTTCATATTCTACCTATTTAGTGTCATAAATATTGATGTTCTTTCTCTTTCCTATAAATTTGGTTAAAGTTAAAATAGTTTGACTTAGAACAAACCTAGAACATCACTTAGTTTGGGACGGATGGAGTATTAGCTCATCATTAACAATTAACTATTAGCCCTTGTGTTATGCTAAAAACTTGCTATGTAAGAGCATCTTAAATAGTTCCTAAAATAATAATTAGGCATCGTCAAGTGACCGATAGGCTTTCGGTGAAGCTTGCCTCGACAAGTTGTTAAACAAAGTGGCAGTGTAGGGGTACGATCCTGGATATCCACGGCAGACTATATGGGTTGCGCTACCAGGGGCGGTTCAGCCCACAAGATAAAGACCTACGGTGCACGGCAGTACTCGACGTGTACCGCAAGACATCAAGGGCGATATCCTAAACATGCTACGAGATCTGTTAGGATACGTTCGATCCCATGATTCCTGTAATCTGTTACTACTTTCTGGTTATCTCTTAGATCTAACCGACTTGTAACACTGCCCCTAGACTATATAAGGCGGGCAGGGATCCCCTCAAAACACACGCAATATCATATGACAGCCAATACAAACCAACATACCACAGGAGTAGGGTATTACGTCGTGCAGACGGCCCAAACCTGTCTAACTCTTGTGTCTCTGTTGCCTTCTTGTTCTTGATTACGCGCACATCTGCCGATCAATCTACCTTCGTGGGATACCCCTCGGAGGACTGCCGAGCATCTTTTGTCGACAGTAGGCGCGCTAAGTAGGGGTGTGCGTGTTGTTTCTATGACGAACAAGATGGTACGTTTTGCAGGCTCTTCGTCCTCTCCAAAGCCCGGCTAGATCTTCACAGTCGAATCGATCTCCTGGGTGATCAATGCTGACGGAGACAGAGAGATCATCGAGCTGGTGCAGATCGATTCTACGCCGACCACACCAGCACTTGCAACAGCAGATCCGATCTCGGAACCGCCTCCGAGGTTGTCTTCACCAACAACTCGCCGCCTGCTCCCCCACTACCCGAGGAAGCAGATCGACAACGACGATCTGATCGCATCCATCGATCAGGTTGGCCAGAAGCTTGCCGACTGCCTCTCCATCGCAGAATCGGCTCTAACCACTCTGGTTCAGCGTCGACCACCCTCTGATTCCGATCTATCGGAGGCTGATCGACAAACTCCAGAGGTTACGACCGCCATCCATCAGGATGCCCTAAGGGGCAAATTCGCCGACCAGGTGGGAGACATCTATCCTCTCGCCGACCCTATCGCCGACCAGCTCTAGCCGACTATCAATATGCTGCAAATCGGCCGACGCCCCGAAGCATCCCTCCACACCATCCTGGAGGAAACTCCAGATTCTGAGTCCCAGGGCTCTACGAAGACTGTCGCCGAAACCGCCGCCGTCCAACCTCCTTTCCCACCCTTCCGAGGAGGCGGGATCTTTAATGTTAGCGTCGACAGCCCTCCACGGGATGGAGAAACTAATGAGAACCGCGCAGCTCGTGTCAACAGAAACGCCAACCGTGTGCAGCGCCAAGCGAATGAAGCCACCATTGTGCTAGCCGAGGCTGCTCGCAACGGAGAACAGCTCGACTCGCAAGGGAGGCCACGCCCACTCCGCCGCAACATCGATGACGAATTCATCCATGTCAACGGCCACGATGTCTACAAGACCCCAAGCGCCAACTTGGTCGTGGCCGCTAATGAGCTCGCTCGGCTCGAGCAAACGCCAGAGGTCACCAAGGTCGCCGTAATGCTTAAAGCGAAGCAGTGTCAGGTCAACGAGATCCTCTAGGATCAAGGACCTTCCTACTCGACAAGCTCGAATCGCTGATCCGCTGCGCCAAGGTCCAATCACCGCCCCGGCAGAAGCAGTTTCATCGACCAGCATCGTGATGACGGACGACCCCTCTAGGGGGAGCTAGGGGGCACCGTATCGACTACCCTCACCAACATGACCAAGAAGTCGACCAAGATGTTCGAGCACACATCAATAATCTTCGGGATGCGCGACGTCATATCGACGGGCGCCGTTTCTCTCGACATGAAGAGGAAGTGCGCCGGCGTCAAGAATACGAGCAAGAGTTTGGGAACCCGGATGCGGCCCTCCAGCCATTTAATGCCGACAATGCTGCAGATCCCAACGGTGACGATCCCGAAGGGCCCTGGGCATTCACAAGAGCACTCTGAACACTCCAGTGGCCCCATGGTTTCAAAATCACCGGGGTCGAGCCCTACGAGGGGCGGATGAACCCCACGTAGTGGCTACAGGCTTATGCCACCGCTATGCGCGCCGTCGAAGGAGATACCAGTGTCATGGCGAACTATCTTCCCGTCATGCTCATGTCAACCACGATGAACTGGCTCACGAGCCTCGCCCTGGATTCCATCAGATCTTGGGAACAATTGAAGAAAGTCTTCACCGACAACTACATGGCTACGTGTACTCGATCGGGCACCAAGCATGATCTGAATCGCATCTATTAGAAACCATCCGAGCTCCTCCATAGCTACATAAGGTGATTTTCTGAGATGAGGAATTCTATTCCCAACATCATGGAAGTAGAAGTCATCATCGCCTTTGTCTGAGGACACCATCGCCGCGACCTCCGCTCCAAATTCAATCATAAGCCACCAAAGGGGATTGGTGAGATTATCACAACCGCCGATCAGTACGCCGACGCTGAAGAGGCTGAAGTTTGCTTCAATGAGGATGCGGGCACTCACCACCCAACTCGCAGCAGCAACGAGCGCCCCGGTGAACGACGCCATAGTGACCACCACCACCATGACCGCGGCAACCATCAGGACAGCTGGTCAATATCGCCACCGCCAACCAGACCACATCGTCGCCACCGTTGATGAACCTCACGCCAAACACAACTACGACGAGCAGTACAAGAAAATCCTCGAAGGCCCGTGCCCCCTCCACAAGAACAGCAAGCACAAGATGAAGGACTACCTTGGCTTGGCTAAGGAGTTCCAGAGTAAGAAAAAGGACAACGACAACGAAGACGGAGCCAGAGGTCACCGACTACCTGGGGACAACAACAACGCCTTCTAGGATCATGACAAAGTGGTCGCCACTATCTTCGGGGGTTTAGCCACCGCCGAGAGCAGAAGGGATCGAAAGCTCACCGCCCGTCGGGTGCTCGCCGTTGACACACAAGACGCTATCGCCAACCCCAGCTATCACCCCTGGTCTGAGGTCCCCATCACCTTCAGTAGGGCCGACCAGTGGGCGGACATCCCGTACATAGGGTGTTTCCCCCTCATCCTCGATGCAACTGTCAAGAAAGTACTCTTTAGGAAAGTACTTGTCAACGGCGGAAATGCTCTGAACCTTCTCTTCACCGGAGCCCTAAAAGAGCTAGGCCTTGGAATAGAAGACCTCACTCCCTCCGACACCTTTTGGGGCGTGGTACCTAGCAGGGCATCCAAACCACTAGGAGAGATCACCCTCCTGGTACAATTTGGCATGGCAAGCAACTTCCGTGTCTAGCACATCAACTTCTACGTCACCGACTTCAACACCGCCTACCACGCCATACTTGGTCGGCCAGCTCTGGCCAAGTTCATGGCCATACCGCACTATGCCTATCTGGTATTGAAGATGCCTTCACCTGCAGGAGTTCTGGCTCAGCAGGCCAACCTCTCCATCGCCTACGCCTATAAAACAGAGAGTCTCTCCCTCGCCGAAGCCACAGACCTCTCCATCCAGATGGCTAGCATGGTCAACGACGCCAAGACAGTGCCCACCGATGACCTGGAGATCACATCACTGGAGCCTCCTCGTGCCTCCGCCAAGTCCAAGGAAACGAAAGAGGTCAGCCTCGGCCTAGACGACCCCACCAAGACCATCAAGATTGGGGCTCATCTCAACCCCAAATAGGAAAGCGCGCTCGTCTCCTTCCTACGTGCCAATGCCGACGTGTTTGCTTGGAAACCTGTAGACATGCCGGGGGTACCATGGGAGAAGATCGAGCACTCCTTGAATATCTCGCCGACCGCCAAGCCGAACAAGCAGAAACTCTGATGATTCGTGCCAGACAAGAAGGAGGCTTTTAGGGTAGAAATAAAACAGCTCCTAGCAGTTGGATTTATTAAAGCAGTGTATCATCCTGAGTGGCTAGCAAATCTAGTTCTTGTTTAAAAAAAGAATAAAGAATGGAGAATGTGCGTTGATTACACTAATCTCAACAAACACTGCACTAAAGACCCCTTTGGTCTGCCTCGGATAGATGAGGTTGTAGAC